CTCCACTGGCCATCCTCCCACCTCCATGGCTAGCCTTGGGCACTGTCCCTGGACTAGATTCTCCTGAGCTCATGCCTAGGGGGGTCCTTCTGGCCTGGCCCATGGTCCCTGCAGGGAATACTCTGACCCCACCCTGACCCACTGGAAGGACCCATTAAAGAGGAGCCTCCCATAGTACCCAAGTTTCCTGCTACTCCTTGAACCCCAGCAGGGATGGGGAGCTCACTATCTCCCAGGGATGCAGCCCTCCGCAGACTCAGGAGCAGGTGGCCTGGGTTCAGATCCCCACTACCACTGAATACCAGTGGCAGCTCCCCATCTATGACATGAAGACAAAGCTTCTGATCTTAGAGGACCAGTGGCATCCCACTTTGAACAGGGGCCTTTGTAGACATGAGGTACAGACAACCAAGGTCAGGGACTGGGTTATGAGCTGCTCTCCCACCCCACCCCACCATTTGGCGCATGCCCAGGTGGTGACATAGCCGAGCAGCAGTGGGTAGGGGCATGACTCAGTGCCCAGGCCAGCCCCTGGCACTCACCCCCAAAATTTGTCATCACCCAGGCAGGAGGGTCTGGGCAGCAGCATCTCCACCACCACCACCACAAGTCAGGGACCCAGACACAGAGCCACATTCTGAGGGTGCATACTCTAGTGATGCAGACTGGCTCATGGCTCAGCCAGCCTTCCAGGGGGCACAGGGAGCTCTAGTCAGCAGAGAGGCAACTAGAGAAGACAGCCCAGCTTGAACAACCCAGATCTCTTGCAGAGGCCCAGCACAGTGGCTGCATGAATAAGGCCTCACTTTGTGGGAGCAGGAAGGTGCCCCAGGGCAAACAACTCCACAGGTTGAAGATCCTGGCCCCACTGGCTGGAAGTATGCACTGGTGGCTCTACAGAAGTGGGCCTTGCCTGGTGCACACTGGGAGGACCAGGGAGCAGCTCTAGGCTGGCTGCTCCAAGACAAAAGGGGTGGGGAGTGGCCTGGAACATCAATTAAAAAAAAAAAAAACACTACTTTTGTCAGATACTGCACTTGGCATTTGAACTCTGCTTACTGCATCCTCCCATGGTATCACTACCATCTTCAGTTCTGAGATTAGGGAAACAAGGCCCAGAGAGATGAATATACCTGCCCAAGGTCACACAGTGGATAGGGCTGGGACAGAATCAAGCAGCCCAGAGCCTATACCCTTGACCATGTCCTTGTGGCAATAAGTGACAAAGGAAGGGTCTAGGCAGGTTGGTGCTGGGGTCTGGTCCCACATAAGTTCCCCTGGCATGTGGCTGTTCACTCTCACAGGGACCCACTCGTGGTTCAGAACTTTGGGGATCTTCATCACATTTGACAACCTCAATCACAAAAGCTTAGAGAAATGAAGCCACTATCTTAAGGGTCCGCATCCAGTTTCTAACTGAGCTACCCCACAGCTCAGAAGACACAACCTGATCAAAGACTCCAAGCAGGCTGCGCCACGGCTACCCGTCCACCACCCCAGCTCCAGCAAACTGAGGTCCCACAAAGCCATGGCCCTGGGCAGCAGGGTGCAAATTCCCGCTCCCCATTTACTTCTCCCAAGACCCTTAACACTGCAGGCCAGGGCAACTGGGTGGGGAGACAGTGGCAATGCTTGGGGACCCAAGGGAGGGAAATTGTCTATGTTTCTCCCAGGCTCCTAGCTCTTTAGTCAGTGTGAGTAACCTTGGAAGCCAGGCAGGAGCCTTAGACTGCTGAGCCGCCCACCTTGGCAGGCACAGCACCCGCAGGCCATCTCCCACTAATGCATGGAGGCCTGTCCACCAGTGTCCGGAGCTCTGCCAGCTCCCGAAGGGCATAGCTTTTATCTCTGCCTGGAACTGCCAAAACGTACCTCAAACTGCTGGGGCAGGCGCCAGCCCACCAGCCTCATGTCCTCCACAATGCTCGCTCTCCCTCTCCACCCCTGCGAAAGCACAGGTCAGATGGAGAGCAGTGGGGTGAGTCCTGCTGGTGTCCATGACACCCAGCTGTCCTGGCAGGAGTGGCACCAGGAGTACACCACAATCTGGCTTCAGCGTACTCATCCGCTCAACGGGACAGATCATGATAAAGGTTTCAAATTCTCCGCTCTACCAACTCCCTGAATGCTCACAACTGGTCCCCACAGCTGATGTGATTATTACCCACACTTTGCACATGGGAAACTGAGGCAGGGGCCCACCTTCACACAACCAAAGAGGAACAAAGCCTAGAATCTTCCTGAGTACAGTCAGTCCTGCATCTCTCAAGCCTGCTGGCCTGGAAGGGCAGGAGCAGAAATGCGGGGGGTTGGGGGGAAGGGATCTGGGATGCGGGAGCAGGGGCAGAGATGGGAGGGAGAGGTGAGACAAGGGTGCATGTTCTCTGGCACCCAGCATGGTGCCTGGCTGGGCTGCGGAGCCCCCATCCCACCAAGAGGGCCAGAAGAGCATAGTGCACCGGAACCCAGACCCCGGAATCCTCCAGGATGCAGCCTCCTTGCTAGCCAAGCCCTCTTGCCTCCATGGTCTTATTCTAAAGTGGGCACAGCCTGCCTAGGCCACAGGAGAGCCAGAAGCTACAGGGCTTTTGAGGTGCCAGTCCCAGGTTGAACCACCAAAAAAAACCACCTGTGGAACATGCAAAAGAGTACAGGAAAGTGGCATCCCAGTGCCTGTCATGCCAGAGTACGGCAATACAGAGTGACAATCAGAAAATGCATCTCAGACCTAAACCCAGAATCCACAGGGCTCCAGATGGGGGGTAATGGGGGGGGGCAGCCAAAGCCTGGAGGAGGTGCTAGGGCTTGTGAGAAGGCAGGCTGGGGGTGGGGGGCATGGCCAGCCAGTGCCCTCCCAACCACATCTGAGAAGCCCCTTTGTGCCAGTCCTGCCCTGCCCCCCGCTTGCCATCTGCCTGCTCCCTGGAGTCTGGTCACCCCAGCTGCCGGGTTTACTCACATGCTGCCCCCATCTGCCATTGAGTCAGAAGGCGGGGTGCATGGGGCCACCCTGGGGAACACGGCTGGGGTGTGGAGCCCTGCTCGAGCTCTGGATTAGGAGGAGAGGCTGGGCTGGGCTGGGGGCTGGGCTGGGGGCTGTGCCCACTTCCCCACTTCCATTCTCAGCAGCCCCTGCCTCCTCTGTGTCCTCTCCCAGAGCCCTGCCCTTGCTCTTGCCACATCAGGGCATGTCTGCCTGTCTAACATGGACACGGCACTGCCCAGCCTGCACCCAAATGCAGCCCTTGCTGGGATGGTGTGACCGTGTGACCCCCCCCCCTTTCTTCAGCTATCCCCATCTTTCTCCACGTCCCTGTCATTGTTATTTGAGGTCCTTCCAGGAAGGTGGCCCCTGCCACTGCTCTGCCATGTGTGTCACCTGCTCTTCCTCAGCTGCCCCGAGCATAAGCCCCAACCTTCCCAGGCAGCCAAAGGTCAGCCTTATGGGGCAGTGCCTCCCATCAGAGGCAGCCTGGGCCACCCCCTCCCCAGCACACCTGCCCCTTAAAGTGACCGAGGCCAGATCTGCACCCTCTGCTCTCACCACCCCCAAAGCATGGTTTCCCTTGCTCATACACTCATACACACAATACAGCCCCTCTCCTTCCTTCCCCACCTCACAGCGCAACCTGGACACCTCCTTCCTCGTGGCCGGCTGCCAGGGAAGATCCATCCCTACCCAGGCGTATCGCAGCATCCATCTCGCCACCTAACCATCTTGTTTGTTTGTGTCCCAGAGGGAGTGTGCAGCCAGGCCCATGGCCTCTGCCCACAGCCCCAAAGCCTCAGGCACAGCCAGCTGTACTGCACAGCCATGCCCTCCCAGACATGCCACACCTGCAGCCTGGCTCTCTGCCATCTGACACCCACAGCTGAGCCCCAGGCCCATGGAAGGCTCAGCAACTGTCATCAACCCCACATACTCACTTAGCATTTGCAGTGACTGAGACCCAGAGGGGAGGCAAAGCAAGGTAGCCACAATGAGACTTTGAACAAAGTAGGTTTGTATCTCAGGTCCCTGAGCAAAGCAGGGTATTAAGTCTAGCCCCTAAGCACTAGTCCCACCCCTGGACATTGGCAGTGAAGACCACACAGGAGCCTATGCATGCCATACGTACCTCACTCACTTTATGTCTCCATGGGAGTACGTTGTACACAGCAGGCGCTAAGTGTCTATAAGCAAATCTGAAGGAGCTATAGAATCTCTTCCTACTCAGTCCAGCTATCCCAGCACAGCAGCTACAGGAGGGGCCTCAACTCCTCCCTCACCCCCTCAAGTAAGATGAGCACTGGCTCCTCCAGAAGGGGGCCCTGGGAGACCCCTACTGGGCACCACACAGGGGGAGTGGCCAGAAGGAGCGGTCAGGAAGGGTGTATCTGGTGTGAGCAGCCAGCAGCCCTGAGGTGGTTAACGGGTGGGGAGAACTCTCCCACCCAAGGTTCAGATCTTGTTGCTGGGACTCCTCCTGCGGGACTGCCCTGGCTAAGTTGGGGGTCCCAGCCCTTGTCCAGCTGAGCAAAAGCTACCATCCAGAGCACCCTGCCTCTCCCACCCCTCCACGGCAACCCTTCACTGGACCCGCTGGGTAACTTCAGGCAAGTAAGCACCTGTCTTCCAAGACCTCAGTTCGCTCATCCACTCAGTGGGAATGGATACCCCACAGCCCAGAGAACGGACGCCAGCTGGCCGACTCAGTGGCACCATAATTGAGCGCCCATTCTTCCAGCTTCTAGAAGGTTATGGCTACATGGGATTCCTTATCCTTTGGGCACTGTGTCCTCCAGAGATGCCCCTCATCCCTGTGGTGCCAACCCTAGAGACAGCATGCTATAGCGAGCCCAAGCTGGGCTGAATCCCCTCAGAGATGCCAAAGACCTTAACTCCTCATTCCACATCACCCTACCTGCTGTTCCACAGCCACAGCCACACCCTCCCACACTCCCCCCCAACACACACACGGTCCCTCCCCGCACCTGCTGGCCAGCCCTTGCTCAGGTACCTGACACCTGCTGGCCCTGTGTAGAACCAGGCGGCCAGCCCACGTTTCAGGCAGGGTCCACCTCCGAGGCTGCTCCTGGTCTGTGCTGCCTGCCAAGTGCACTAGCAACAGAGGCGTGTGGGAGGCTCCAGCCCCTCTCCTGCAGCAGGGCAGGGCAGGCAGGCGCCTCCCTTCTGCCCTAGCTGGCTCCTCCTCCTCCCTCCTCCTTCTCAGGGATGACGGAGGCTGCTCCATGAGTCATGAATTTCTCAGAGGGAAGCCAAAAGGGAGCAGGGCTGAGTGAACTGAAGCCGTGACCCTGGGGGATGCCCATGACTCAACGCCAGGCAAGGGGGGAGCCTCAATCTCACCCCTCAGCCAGGCAGACAGGTGCCAGGCTCAGAGAGGGGATGGTCAGGGACCAAGGATAAGTCTGCCTCCACACCCTGCATCCTTGGATCCTTGGGGCTTTTCTCCCCAAAGTTCTTACAGAGAGGACAGGTTTGCCATGGCAACCAGCCACTCTGATGCCGGCCTGGCTTCCCCACCCCACCCCGCCTGGGCGACAACTGCCCCTTCCTGAGCAAGAGTCCAGCCTCCTTGGCAACAAACAGGAGCTGGCGCTGACCAGCAGAGCGGAAGGCAAGCCAGGAGGAAGGGGGTGTCAAGTCAGGCAGTCTGGCCCAAGGCCACGCACAACTGACCACTTGACCTTGGGTCCTGTTAGAGCCTCAGTTTGTCTTCATAGCCAAAACGTCCATGTCCAAGTACACACAATCTCAATAGCCTCCAGTCCCACACTGGAATGTGAGACTCCCCAGGGTGTTCTAGAAACAACTGCTGTGTCTGCAAAGCCAAAGGGGAAACTGAGGCCCAGATGAAGGTCAGACCTAGAGGTTCTGAAGACTCAGACAGAAGAATGTGGAAAGGGGCCAATGCCTCCAGGCCCTTGACCAGGTACATCTGCCAGCAGGTGCCTGCCAGAGCTAAGGCTCAGTGCCCTGCTGCTTGGCAGTCCCAAGAGTCAGTCATTTGCGTGCCCTACACCCCACACCCACCAAAGACCTCCCCTGGCCGCATCCCCAAAGCATGATAACCATTCCCAAGTCACAAGTGCTGTCTGGGTTTCACAACGTGATGAGGGGGACAATAACAGCAGCCCAAGAAACAACAGCAGTGACACCTGCATTCCTGGCTCTGCCCAGAGGCAGCAGCAAGGGGTCAAACCTGTTCCCTGTGCTTGAAGAGCCTTCAGTGAGGAGGAGGAGGAGAAGGATGGAGACAGGGCACCAGGCAGAAAAGCGAAGCTCAGAAAAGACACCCTTGTCCCCCAGGTCACCCAGAGGCCTCCCTTTGGGCCTGTGGCTGCTCAAATGCTGACCCTCTGCTGGAATCTGCATTCCAGAAGAAGGGATCTGGGAAAGGTACCTGGGATCCTCCCACAAAGCAGCATGCAGGGAACTGACTCAGGCAGTCCAGGAGCCTAGGGGTTGCCAAAGGGACCAGCACCTGTCACCTGCCTACCCTGACTCGAGTTCCAGAAGACCAAAGGGAACTCAAGCCCAGTGAGGATGCAAGGGGGTCCCTAAAGACAAAGCTTCCAGAAAACGTTCCCCACAACTGGGGCAGCCTGGCCAGGGCAGCTCCTGCCCCCAGAAGACCTACTATGTGCTAAGCATTGTGCCAGGTTCTAGATAGAGGAGAAAGACCAGCTCCAAGTCTGGTTGGCCAGGGCAGCCCCTGCCCCCAGAAGACCTACTATGTGCTGGGCATTGTGCCAGGTTCTAGATAGAGGAGAAACACCAGCTCCAAGTCTGGCTGGCCAGGAAGACTGGCCCTCACAGTGGCACTATCTGGGGTCAGTTTTAGACCACAAAGAGGACCTTGGGGGTTAAAAGAGAAAACAGGCTGGATCTCTCTGGTGTTACAGGTGGCCAGAAACACTGAGTGACTCCTCCAAGGCCACATGGCAGCCCAGGGCTGGGCCTCCAGATGTATAACGCTAGCCAGATCCCTGCCAGACCCTGCATTTACCTTACCAGGCATTGCATACCTATTCTGTTTTTGGGCTCCTCGTTAAGTCACTCACCCAACTATCCAGAAAAGGGTAGGAGGTGCAGAGAAGGCAAGGGACTTGTCAGGGTCTGAGCCAAGCATGTTGTATCTGGAGTCCCTGCTGGATCATGAAGGAGGGAGCTGGAGCTACGGTGGGAGACACAGCAGCTCCAGCAACTGCAGAGGGTAGATGCAGAGCTCCTTCTTGCAAGGACGTGGGGAGGAGGGGGCGTGGATAGGATTCTAGAAACTGCAAGCATGGGACTGGGGGTTCAACAATAGCCCTGGGCAAGGAAGCAGACAGAGAAGGCATGATCAGCAGTGCACAGACCTACGACACAGCCCAATAAGCCACTGGACAGTCAGACCTCAGGTATGCCCAGACTGGCAGATGGGAGAAGGTGCTTCAACGAGCTGTCCTCATGATTCCAGGATACGTCAAGCATGAGAGGTACCGGACTAGACTCAAAGGGCTTGTACCAGCTCCACTGGGACAGGATGGAGTAGGTAGAGGAAGGACACCCTTCTGGACTGAAAGCCCTCCTCCTACCACCATCAGGCAGGATGGTGGAAGAGGTCAGAAACTGCCCCAAGCAAGGGGTGCTACAATGAGGTACAAATGTGGGAGGCAGAAACGGGGTTGCCTTCAGGTACCATGAAATTGGTGGGTAGAAAGACTGTCAGGCCCCCTGCTTCCAACCAGCATCAGCAGTGACACAGGCGAGGGCTGAACAGGCCCAGTAAAGGGCACAGACATGATTGGGCTGCAACAGAGACCAGAGCTGGGGGGCCACAGAAAGCTGCAAGTGCAGGCAGGCCTTCCTTGAAGGACCAAGGAAAGGGGTGATGCTACAGCTGGGAGGAGGAGGAGAGCGCCAAGGCTCTGCAGGCTGTGTGACTCAGGCATGCACCTCTCTGTCCCTCCACAGCCTCTTCTGTCACCACTTAGGGGACCCGCATGCACAAGGGCTGGCCCCTGAGGGAGCTGCCCCTATTGCCTGCTATTTCAGGGCTGGAGAGAGGTGTGAACCAATGCAAAGGCTGGAAGGTCTCCAGCTCCTTGCTTCCTGACTGGCCTTCCAGCCAGGCTTGCAGTGATGAGCCGGGCCCACCCTGCAAAGGGTCACAGCCAACCACCATCTGCTCCAGGACGAAGGCAGCTCAAGTCCAGGCTTCCTCTCTCACAAGCCAAGCGAGTCTGGTGGGCAACGCTAGGCCCACAGTAGGTGTGTAAGGAGCGTTGGCCAAGGCCAACACAAATGCCTAAGGCTCCAGACAACAGAAGTCCAAATCTCCTTGTAACACAGTTGGAAACTGAAGCCCAGGAGAATGCACCTGCCCAAGGCCCCACAGCGAGTCAGCAGCAGTGGCAGACACAGAACCTGAGCCCAGACTGAGCGCGCACTTCAGCCCATGCTCCCAGCCACCTCCCGATTCCTTCCCGTGGGAAAGCCTCCTGGTCCAGGCATTGGGGGCGGCCCCAGCCGCGTGATCACACTGCCATCTCTCTGGCATGCCAGCCGCAGGGCCCAGGGAGCACAGCATTGCCCATGTGACTCAGCCACCCTTACAAAAGCAGCTGTGTGCCTAGACCTCCTTTCCCTCCCCTCCCTCTCCCCCATTGTGGAGCTGGAGTGGGGGTGGGGTGCACAGCAGGGAGCCTGGCCCATTCAAAACATGGGAGAGGGAGGAGCTGCCTCAGCGTTAAAATGGGGACTCAAGCCCAGGCTTGGGGTACTAGAGGCAAGTGCCAGCTCCAATGATGGCGCTCAAATGGAGGAGAGAACCGCCTCCCTTACAAGTCCCCAACTGCTTTCTGAGACCTTATTTGGGGCTCCAAGGACAGGTTGTATCCGGTTGGTTCCCACAAGGGGTGGAGCCGGGTCCACCTGCATCAGGTTTCAAAAGCAAAGAGGCTGGGAAGGACTCCAGTGGCTGCCTGGTTCCTCTCGCCCCTCCCCGGAAGCTCCAGCTGTGGAGCTCTTATCCTGAATCTATCTGCACTTTCTCCCACTGCCCAGTCTAGGAAAGTGTCCCACTTGCTGGAGGGGAAAACTGAGGCTTCAAGAGGCAAGGGTGCTACAAGGCAATGGAGAATTTGAACCAGGATCTACCTGGAACCCTGATTCCACCCCCAGCCTTTACCCAATATCCTTTTCTTGCCTCCAAGGGCATCCCAACCTCCTGCCCACAGCGGTACCTCAGGGCCATGCAGGGAGACAGACATTGCCCCTCCCACACGGTCACCCAGGGCCCTGCCCGGTGGAGGGGCAGGGGCACTCCAGAATCCAGCTCTGTAGTCAGCGTTCAGGTTGGCTGGTGTTCTGGAGCCACCCCCGCAGAACCCCTCAGGACAATGGGCATGCCTGGGTGCCCGCCTGGCCCAGACAGACAGAAGGTACACAGGGCAACTAGGCCACTTCCTGGTTTCCAAGCATGACGGATCGTCTGCCCCTCAGCCCAGCCCCCAAGGGGCATTTGGTGGGAGGGTTGGAAGCAGCCAGAAGAGGCCCACAAGACTTCGGGACAAAGAAGAAATCCACCTGAGAAGCCTTGCAGCCGCAGCCTGGCACCCTCCTAGGAGATTCCACACACACACCCTGGCTCAGGCTGTGTTGCCTTCCTGCTCTGCCTTTACAGCTAGAAACACAGCCCCCTCCTCTAGGTGGGAAGAACCACAGCCTGGGCAGGGGTGGGGCTGGCTCAGAGCTGCCCCTCCCCTGCCCAGGTTCCTCCCCACACTGCCCACATCCCCCCTAACAGGTATCCACAGGGTCTGGCATTGCACTGTCCCCTTTCTGGGCCTCAGTGCTCTCCCATGGAAGGTGGGGACAGTGTCCCAGCTGCAGTACCTCTGGGAAGTGCAGGATCGTGACTGCCATAGGCGACCGTCTGTCAGCCCAGCCCTCTTGTCTCCCTTACCCAGTGTTCTCTGGAAGGTAGAGCTCCCAGGAAAGGCTGACCGGAAGAGGAGCCCTCCATGCCCTCTGCAGCCACCTCCCTGTCCGAGTGAGGAACGTCCTGACTTGGTGTGGGACCACCAGCAGCCCCCC